TGATCCTGGAGTCCCAGGATCGAGTCCCGCATCGGGCTCCCTGCTCGGCGGGGAGCCTGTTTCTCCCTCTGACCCTCCCCCCTCTCATGTGCTCTCTCTCATTCTCTCTCTCTCAAATGAATAAAATCTTAAAAAAAAAAAAAAAAAAGTCTTAGAAATAAATAAGTACAAACAAGAAATAACTAGTATTGGGGTGCCTGGCTGACTCAGTCAGTAGAGAATGTAACTCTTGATCTCGGGGTTGTGAATTTGATCCCTACATTAGGTGTAGGGCCTACTTAAAAAAAAAATGAACAAGAAATAACTAGTATTGACAAAGATGTTGAGAAAAGAGAACCCTTGTGCACTGTTGGTGGGAATGTAAATTGGTGCAGCCACTATGGAACAGTATGGAAGTTCCTTGAAAAATTAAAAAGAGAACTACCATATGTTCTAGCAATCCCACTTCTGGGTATATATCCCCCCCACCAAAAAAAAATCGCATCTCGTATAGGTATCTGCAGTCCCATATTCTTTGCAGCATTACTTACAAGCCAAGACATGGAAACAATCTAAGTGTCTGTCAACACACGAATGGATAAAGAAAATATGGTGTATATATACATAATGGAGTATCATTCAGCCATAAAAAGAAGGAAATCCTTTATTTGCAACAACATGGATAAACCTTGAGGACATTATGCTAAGTAGAATAAGTCAGAGAAAGACAACTTTATGATCTCACTTATATGTGGAATCTAAAAAAGCCTAACTCATAGAAACAGAGAATAGAATGGTGGTTGCCAAGGGCTGGGAGGTGGGGGAAATGGGGAGATGTTGGTCAAAGCGTACAAACTTCCAGTTATAAGATGAGTAAGTTCTGGGATCTAATGTATAGGATGGTGACTATAGTTAACAATACTGTATTGTATACTTGAAAGTCGCTAAGAGAGTAGATCTTAAATGTTCTCACCACACACACACAAGGTAAGTATGTGAAGTGATGGATCTGTTAGCTAACCATACTGTTAATCATTTCCTAACACATATGTAATCGAATCACATGATACACCTTAAATTTACACAATGTTCTACTTTCTTTTTTTTTTTTAAGTAGGCTCCACATCCAGCATGGAGCCCAACGTGGGACCTGAACCCACAACCCTGAGATAAAGGCCTGAGCTGAGACCAAGAGTCGAATGCTTAACCAACTGAACCACCCAGGCGCCCCCATAATGTTATATTTCAATTATATCTTGACAAAGCTGGAAAATAAATTCCACGGTCCACTGCTCTAATTATTCTCTTGCACATAACCAGAACCCATCTATTTCTCGCTCTCTTTGTTGTGCAAGCCTAGCAAAACCCAAACCCTGGTCAAATTCAACTCCCTGTGCCTACTTCTTGCCTGTGCCTCCCTTAAGACTGGCAATCCTACTTCATTTCACTAATCAGCTCACTTTCCTATTCTCTGAGATGACTTACTAAAAAAAAAATTTTTTTTTAAGATTTTATTTATTTATTACAGAGAGAGCATGAGAGGGGGGAGGGTCAGAGGGAGAAGGAGACTCCCCGCCGAGCAGGGAGCCCCATGCGGGACTCCATCCCAGGACCCCGGGATCATGACCTGAGCCGAAGGCAGATGCTTAACCAACTGAGCCACCCAGGTGCCCCCTGAGATGACTAATTTATAGCTTTTCCTCTCATCTTAGGCTCCCAAAATCCCCTTCCCTTTCTTCACTCTTAGCTAATGACCCTGGCTTTCAATTTCCACGAAGAACAGAAAAGCAACCGAGCCCACTTAATCTCCCCACCAAATCCACCACACCACCTGCATTCTCCGCCAGCCCTCACCCCCCTTCTCTGCTCTCTCTTATGGCAAAACACCTGAAAGCGTTATTTTCACTCAATGTCTCTCTTTCTTTTTCTGTTCTTTAATCAGATTTTCATCCTCAATAGTATCGAAACTATTTTGTAAAGTCCCCAGTGGCCTCCATGTTGCCAATTGCAATGGTCAACTCTTACTCATTTTACAGGACCATCAGTGGCTTTTGACAGTTGCTCACTCTCTCTTCTTGAAACTCTTCCTCCACTTGGCTTTTGCATCATCTCCCGTTTCTCTTCTACCTTAATGGTTCTCAATCTTCCTTCCTGGATCCTCATTTCCTGACTTCTAAATATTGGAGGAGCTCAGGGTATAGTTCCTAGACCTCTCCTCTACTTACATTTACTCCCTAGGTTTTCCCTTTTAGTCCAATGGCTTTAATGCCATCTGCATGCTGATAACTTCTACATTTATATCTCCAGTCCTTCTCTAATGTCTAGACTGGTACATCTAACTGCCTCCTTAACATCATTAGGGTATAAAATGGGCATCCCAAGTTTAACATGCCTCAAACCTGAGATCTATTTCCCAATCCTCATCCTTCCTTGTGGGACGAGTCCCCAAGTCCCCAGTGATCACCACCTCCTGGTATTCACATCCTTATGTAGTCCCCACCTCCCATAATGAATAGGGCTGATCTGTGTAACCACTTGTATAATGCAGAAATGATGGTGTCCAACTTCTGAGGCTAGGTCATAAAAGATGCTGTAGTTTCTACCTTGTGTTCTCCCAGATCACATGCACAGGGAGAAGCCAGATGCCATGCTGTGAGGACACTCAAGCAGCTCTACTGAGAGGCCCATGTGGTGAAGGCACTGAGGCATCCTGCCAACAGCCACACGTGTGAGCTATCTTAGAAGCAGATCCTCCAGCTCCAGTCAAGCCTTCAGATGACTGCAGCCTCAGCCAACAGCTTGACTGCAATCTCATGAGAGACCCTAAGCCAGAACCACCCAACCACACCACTCTTGAATTCCTAACTCACAGAAACTGAAAAAAAATTTTTGTTCTATTAAGCCACTAATTTTGAGGATAATCTATTACACAGCAGCAAATATATAATATTCCCCTGTCTCTCTCACACACAAATCCTCTTTCTCCTCTCTAGTCATGCCTATTGCAAGTCATTTATTTGCTCAGGCCCAAAACCTTGGAATCAACCTTGACTCTGCTCTCTTATACCCTATATCCAATCCTACAGCAAATTCTCTGGTTTTACTGGTGTTCAACATATAGCTGTTGAACAAACAACTGATAAAGCTCAGAAAACAGCAATCTCTAAGGTGTGAGAAATCATAGCTTTGAGGAGGGTTTTGCTATGGTGGGAAACAGTTAATGTAAGCAATGGGAGGCCGCCTAGGGACAGGAAACGGAGTTAGGGTGAACAGCCACTCTGTACCAGGCATCATACACATAAGACTTCATTTGATCCTGTAATTCCATGTGGGGGGTACTACTGTTTATCACCACTCTATAGCTGAGGTCGTAGACTGCAAGAGACACAGTTACATCTGAATTCAGGCAATCTAACTCAAGAATGTAAACTCTTAACCTTAAGCCACCCTGCATTCCAAAGGGGAAGAGCACTAGGGCTGAATTCAGCTAACGGGACGGGGAAGCAAACATCCAGAGAAATGTGGGTCCATCTAGAGGAGTTCTACCAAGGCAACAGCACATAAGTCCCATCCTCAAACTTCTGTTACTCATCTGTGATAGGCAGGGATTGGAGACCTCTGAGAATGATAGCCAACTAGAGTACTCTACTCAATATATAGGCCAGAAGCCTGGATTACAGGCCACTCTGATTCTTAATAACTGGGGGACCCTAAGCAAGCTACTTGACTTCTCTGGGTCTTAGCTGCTTCATTTGTCATTTGGCCAGCCACATCCCACTTGCCAGAAGGAAGGGCTTGGGCATGTCCAGCTCTGGGATCTGAGATCTGACCTCCTCCCCACAGTTACCATGACGCTCCGCCTCTGAGCTCACGGGGATGCCATCCTTATCTAGCCGTTGCTTAAACAGGTTGTGTTCCACATCCAGCTGCTGCTCCCCAGCCACATCCATGGCATCGATGCTCAGATCTGGAAGCAGGAAGTCAGGGTAAGGTACTGGGAACCTACGGGCAAGGGGAGAATCTGGGTTTTGGAGGGTGAGGGGATGCTGGGATTGTCTGGGGGCAGCAGTGGACTAGGGGAAAGAGGCTGTCCTGGGGTCCGGCCAGAACCTAAGGCTGGAGGTGTGAATCTGGAAGCCCACCTGAGAACCTGCAACTCCCACCCCTAGTGGGTACTCACAGGCACAAGGCATGTGCGGAAAAAATACGTCGATGTTGATCTTCAGTTTATCTCCCCGTGACTTGTCCACGTAGAGTTCAGGATGCACCTGGAGCAGCACCACCTCAGTAAGACCTGGGCCCTATGCCTCTCATTCCCCACTCCCATCCCTAGAATGCCGAGCCCCGCCCACATACTAGGCTCCGCCCCTTACCTCAGTGGTGAGGTAATACTGCAGCTCGGACAGAAACAGTAGCAGCATGAGAAGGCCACTGACAATGGTCACTGCGGGGAAGGGAGCGAGGGTCAGAAGGGCCTCTGCTCCACTCTCTCAAGCCCTCCGTAGGCCCGGCAGGGTCAAGGCGCCCCAGCCAAGTTCTCGGACACCCATGTCCCCGCGACCCCGGCCCCGCCGCGGCCTACCCGTGGCGCCCCCGCAGGTCTTGACCCGGAAGTCCTCCAGAGTCTTGGGGTAGGCATCGAACTGCTTGAGCTTCCCCAGCGCCTCCATGGGGACCAGCCGGAAAGGGGACGCCAGCCGACCCGCCCCTGCAGCCTCCTGCTTCCGGCTCGGAGCTTGAGCCACGCCCTCCCGCCTGCACGCAGGCGCAGCCATGCGCACGCTTGGCCCCTCCCCGCGCTCGCATTCTCACTCCGGCCGCAGCGCGCACGGTTGCTGGGGACTGCAGAGTCTAAACACCGTGGCGGGAACCGCTCTTTCAGCCCGGGCGGTCTTGTCTTGTGGACAGGGCGCCCGGAGACGACTCTGCGGGGCAGAAACAGTAATCGCATTCGCTTGCCTTGACCTAGGAACTGCGCCAAGAGTTTCACATCAGAGGCCTGGAACAACATGGAACCTCCTAGCACAGTAGCTTTCAAAGTGTCTTCCAACTAGCGACCTCGTCATCACCTGGGCACTTGGTTAAAAATGAGTATTGGGCCCCATCACAGACCTGCTGAATCAGAAACTCTAGGGTTGGTCCCAGGTGATTCCCTGCAGTTAGTTTGAGAATCACTGCTGTAGAAAGTATGTGGGACTTTTATCTCCATTTTCTGAAAGAGGAACTGCCCTGGAGAAGCTAAGTAACTTGCCCTAGATCACAGCCAGTTAATGGCAGGGCAACCCCACCACACCACTCTTGAATTCCTAACCCACAGAAACTGAAAAAACAAATTTTTGTTCTATTAAGCCATTAATTTTGAGGATAATTTGTTAACACAGCAGCAGATACATAATATTCCTGTCTTTCACACACACAAATCCTCTTTCTCCTCTCTAGTCATGCCTATTGCAAGTCATTCATTTGCTCAGGCCAAAACCTTGGGATCAACCTTGACTCTGCTCTGTTATACCCTGCGTTGTGGTTGGGTTGATTCCAGCCCATTTCTTCTGGACCTCAAAGTACCCTGGGAGCCTCTCAGTGCTTCTGAGCATGGCTCATGAAGGTGCTTGGCTCAAATCATTTCAGGGATGTAAGACCAGAACTTTGATAAAAGGTGGCACAGAGGACTGTTGTAGTCTGTAGGAGAAATTGATGTGCTGGGTTAGGGAAGGCTTCCAGGAAGAGAAGGGACACTGGAGCTGGGTGACCTGTGGTGATGTGACTCTGGAGAAGCTGAGTGATGTCAGAGTCCCCCTTTTGCCCTCAGGCTGCAGTTTGCTAGGGATGTGGGGGAAAGAAAGAACGAGTTCATGTTAACTGGAAACTGACAATATGCCAACTGCTGTAATCCATTCTACCCTGGGAGGTATGTGCTATTTCAAACCCCACTTATAGATGAGGAAGCCAAGAAGTGAATTGACTTTGCCTAAGGTTAATGGGGCAAAGCTGGGGTTCAAGGCCTGGTTTTTCTGGCTCCAGAGCCTGGGTCCTTTCTGCACTTTCGCTACCACCACCAAGTGTGAGTAGCATGTATTCTCGGTGTTGCCCAGGAAAGTTAGCTGAAATTGTCCTCTACTCTCTGGCCTGTGCCCAGTTGGTGCTCTTCCTAACCCTCTCTACTTAGAGGGGCTCCAGGCTTAATGACCCCATTCACTCCTTCAACACATATTTATTGTTTCCCATATCTCCCCTGGGTTATGGGAATACCATGGTGAATAAAACAGACTGGGCTCATGTCTACCCTCAAAAAGCTTTTAGTAGGGGGTAGAAAGAGAAAGAAGTAAACAAGAAATGTATATATATTCCACTTAAAAATGGTTAAGATGTTAAATTTTATGTTATGTGTATTTTACCATATACACAATTGGGAAAAAAATAATAATTAAAAAGCAGGGGCGCCTGGGTGGCTCAGTCAGTTAAGCAACTGATTTTTGTTTTTTAAGATTTTATTTATTTATTTGACGATAGAGACATAGTGAGAGAAGGAACACAAGCAGGGGGAGTGGGAGAGGGAGAAGCAGGCTTCTCCCTCCCGCCAAGCAGGGAGCCCGATGTGGGGCTGGATCCCAGGACCCTGGGACCATGACTTGAGCCGAAGGCAGACGCTTAACAACTGAGCCACCCAGGCGCCCCAAGCATCTGACTCTTGATCTCAGCTCAGGTCTTGATCTCAGGGTCGTGAGTTCAAGCCCTGCATTGGACTCCACACTGGGCATGGAGCTTACTAAAAAAGAAAGAAAGAAAGAAGAAAGAAAAGAAAGAGAGAGAGAAAGAAAGAAAGAAAGAAAGAAAGAAAGAAAGAAAGAAAGAAAGAAAGAGAAAAAAGAAAAGGAAAGAAAAGAAAGAAAGAAACAGCAGAATGTGCCTTGTGCTGTGAAGCAAATAATCAGGGAACTGTAATAGCGACAATAGGGGTGGGGGACTTTCTGTTTTAGGAATTCCAGAATTAGATGGTCCTTCCCTTTCCAGAATTCTTTTAGGTGGCCATGACAGGAGACCAAGACGCTTACTAGTTAGAGACTTCATCCTTCATAATGTCAGGCTTTATACCAATCCTTCAACCTTTGTGCAGGTGGGGCCTGCACAGGACTGGTTCACTCTGCACATGGGGCTGCCAGCAGAGGGGGTCACTGGTCCCTGTAGCTGCAGCTTACAAGCCCAGCCAGAGAAGAGGGTTTCAGTCCCTTTTGTTGGCTCCTTCTGCCCCGTCACAGTCTTCTTTCGCTTTATTTTCACACTGATAAATGAACTTTTCCTAATTGTTAAATAAATAAATGCATTTGCAGATGTTGCATGTTCTCCTTCCCCAGTGCAGATCGACCATTTTTCTCTTGGGAGAAATATGGAGACCTCGGTGTATCTGGTTTGAAAACAATAGTCACAGTGTAGAAATCCCACTGCTTCCCCTGAGAAGGAAGAATCATAACATAGCTGTGTCAGTGTGTCTCAGAGTCCAATTAAGAGAGCTTCTTACAGACTTTGATAATACTAGGGTCAGGGAATGGACCCCAAGGTCCATTTAAATGACATTTAAAATGACACTTGAAGAAAAGGAAGGAACCAGAGAGGTGAAGTACTGAGTGGGAGGGAGTAATGTGTTCTAGAAAGAGGAATTACAAGTGCAAAGGTCCTGGGGCAAGATAGAACTTGGAAAGTTCTAGGAACAAGGAAAAGACAGAATGGCTGGAAAATGTGAGATGAGTGAGGATTTTGGATTTTATTCTGCATGCAATGGGATGCTATTTTAAGGATTTAAGCAGGAAATTAATTTAAGATCATGCCAGTTGCTAGGTGAAGAACGGATAAGGGATGGGTAGAACAGAAGTAGATATACCAGTTAGGATGCTATTGCAGGTTGTGGAAGGAAAACATAAGCTTCTCTTTAGAAAGCAAAAATATAATTAGAATATGAGCTTCCATTTTAATCAAGGAATCATTTTTTTTAAAGATTTATTTATTTATTTGACACAGAGAGAGAGAGAGCACAAGCAGGCTGAGCAGCAGGCAGAGGGAGAAGCAGACTCCCTGCTGAGCAGGGAGCCCAAAGTGGGGCTCGATCCCAGGACCCCAGGATCATGACCTGAGCCTAAAGCAGGCGCTTAACTGACTGAGCCACCCAGGCGTCCCCTATAAAGGAATCATTTTTTTTTCTGTAAAATTCTTTTCGTGAGAGATCTATTAAGCCAAGACAGTGGTTCTTAAAGTGTGGTCCCCTGGACCAACAGCACTGTCATCACCTGAGAACTTGTTAGAAATGCCAATTCTCAGGCACACGCCAGGAAAACAAAGTCAGAAACTCTGGGGATGAGGCTCAGCATTCTTTTATTAAGCTTTCCAGGTGATTCTGAGGCATACTCTTGTTTGGAAAGCGCTGGGCTAAGAGTCTCAAGCAAATACTTTTTATATGCACTGTGGTGCAACCCACATAAGGAAGGATCTTCTTTCAATGTTTGTAAAACATTATTTAAGTAATTACATAAATCAGGGGTGCCTGGGTGGCTCAGTCGGTCAGGTCAGCGCTCAGTCAGTCAGCGGGGAGTCTGCTTCTCCCTCTCCCTGTGCTCCTCCCCCAGCTTGTGCTATCTCTCTCTCTCAAATAAATAAATTAATTAATTAATAATAAAATCTTAAAAAAATAATTACATAAATCATAAAACAATGACCAGTGAGCAAGCTAATTATAAAGATTCTAGTTCCAATAATATGTAGACTTAATCCTGGAAACCTTCCTGCTGAAAAACATCTTGAAATGCTAAATAACAATTATCCTTTGGAACATACAGCTGACTCATGAAAAAGTAAGAGAAATTCCCAGGGGCTAGAAGTGAAAGAGTTGAAAAAAGCAATAAACTTGTGAGCTGACTTTATGAATCTGGGGATGGGACAGGGAGAGGCTAAGGGACCGGGTGTCAGTAATCTACAAGCTTGGGTTTTCTTCTTTTGTTCTTAGCACATAATAATTCATAGTAACATAGACATTTACAGCTCACAAAGCACTTTCATACAAAAGATCTTATACATTGGAGAGTAATGTGTTGGTAGCTATCATGTGGTAAGATGCTACATTAATTTAGGAAGGCTTTGGAGGGAACTGAATATTTTTTATGGAATCAAATAGATGGGAAGATAATGGTTTCATAAAATATTTTTTAGTCAGTGTGGCCTGAACTTCCCATGACCATATTGTACTTGCTTTACAATCATTGTCGAAAATAGATGGGGGATGGCCTTTTTGGGTATTGGCTATAAATACCTGTATAGGGAAAGGAGATGATACCTCCAGGCCCCAATAAAAAATGGCTTCTTAACAGAGCTAGGCCCATAGAAAAAGGGTAGGCCAGAAAAAAACAAAACAAAGCATCCACTTGTACAGGAAGAGAAAGAGAATGCTTGAAGTTGTTTCTTTTTTCTTTTATTTATTTATTTATTTGAGAGAGAGAATGAGAGAGAGACCACATGAGAGGGGGGAGGGTCAGAGGGAGAAGGAGACTCCCTTGCCGAGCAGGGAGCCCGATGTGGGACTCAATGTGGGACTCGATCCCGGGACTCCAGGATCATGACCTGAGCCGAAGGCAGTTGCTTAACCAACTGAGCCACCCAGGCGCCCCAAGAATGCTTGAAGTTGTTTCAACTTCTGTCCTTGATAGGAAGACAAAAACATAAAAACAAAGTATTGCTGGGACGTTGTAATCACAGGC